AACACGAAATACTCATGTTAAAATTTAGTAAAAAAATAAGAAAAATCCACATCTTCTAGGAATAATAAACCAATACCATGGAAAATTTCATATTTATTTACACCTTGTTTGCATTTAAAAATAAATAAAAACATCCGCAAAATGACGAATGTTATGGCCTAATTCATGGCATAGTTATAGTGATATCATATTGTGTATAAGTGTGCATCTTAGAATGGAAAACAATTTTGATGAAGGGAGTTTTCATTTTATTTTCAAGCAAAATTTAGTTTTCAATTTCTGAGTGCCGAAAAAGATTATTTTTGTGTGTGAAAACCCTACTGAATATTTGTTGCCGGATCTAACCATTAAAATCCACGGAAAATCATACGGCGCTGGAAATCCTCGGGACCGGGCATGGTGTCATCATATGGCCCTTGTAGGGTGTGGTAAAAATCTGAGCGCGTTTCGCAAAAGGCTGACCGGAGGCCCTTTGTAAATTGCACCATCTTCGAGGTAGTATCCAGCTATCGGGAGGGAAAGTGTGTGGTTTGTGAAGGAAGGGTGTTGCCCGTTGCTCTGTTGAACTCGAAACTTCTCGTGCTCTTAAAGGGGGGTGGGGGTATTACATGAGATGTGCCAGGACATGGCATTTTTGGGAATATTTAAGACATTTATTGCATCCGTAGGGTTTCAATGCGGGAAATTACAGATATGCATGGCGGCCACCTGAAATGATGTCCAAAAGTGGTTTGTACAATCATATATGATGTCTTTTCGGAATGTGTATACCTAGTGCAACAAAAGGAGGGGAAGGACCCACCACCGGGGGGCGAATGTACCTCGGCGGCATGCCGGATCTAGCCGTTAAAATCCACAGAAAACATACGATGCCGGAAATCCTCAGGACCTGGGACGATGTTCATATGTTCCTTGTAGGGTCTAGTAAAAGTTTGAGTGTGTTTCGTAGAAGCCTGACCGAAAGCCACTTGTAGATTGCACCATCTCCTAGGTAGTATCTGGCTATCAAGAGGGAATGTGTCCGGTTTGTGAAGGAAGTGTGCTACCCGTTGCTCCATTGACCTCGAAACTTGTCTTTCTCTCAAAGGGGGGCATTACATGACATGTGCCAAGACATGGCATTTTTCGGGCCCTCCTGGAATATTTGAGACATTTATTGCATCCGGTTCTACCCAACACGCACGATCCCCCCTCCAAGCGACGGTGGCATTGCCGTCCGTGGAGGGGAACAACACCCCGGACACCCAAGATGGGCGTCTACACATGCCACATCACTTTCACACATGCATTGGGACACGGTACGGTGTTTCGATGGCATTGCTACACCTTGAAGCCCCACCGACCGGACTAACCCTATTCCCGTTGACCAGGAGATCTAGGCCTTTGACTTTCGTCAGACGGGCTTTGACCAGTGGACTCTTCCACCTGGTTGCGATAGGTCAGCCCATAGGAACATCCACGAACATGGCCTGAACCCAACCAACCACTAGATTCCCTCTGGTTCTACCCGATGCACA